GTCGATAAGAGAATTTTGATAATCCATAAGACCATAATCCATATTTTCATACAATGCTAAAAGCCTAAAACAATAAAACCATACAAGCATACACTGATAGTCTGATACACTGTAGACTGTACACACAAAAGTTAAATAGTAGAACTAGAAACTAGAAAGTAGAAACTAAAACTAAGAAAAATAAAATATAAAAAAATTTAAAAAATATACAGACTATAGTCTAGGACACAATAGTCAACACTCAACACCAAAAGTCTTCAGTCATCATCATCATTAGAAGGAATATGGTAAGCCTCATCATATGCAACCAATTCGAGGCCATCATCATCAGAATCATCTCTCTCTTCAATGTAACACTTATTCTTCTCTGTTTCTTCTGAATCTGCATCTTCCTCATCTTCTTCTACCTCCCTCTTACTAGTATGTGTAGATGAGGCCCTAGGATTCTTGGCTGCTCTACCCTTTTCTATCTTTTTGTGCTTCTCTGAAATCAAATATTGTATAATCTCCTCCCTGGTAGCCTCGGGAACATTTTTACACAGGACAACATCCCCCTTAATACCGGCAAGATGTTTTTTAAACTGGTGAATGCCCCCATTAGTATCTTTTCCACAATAATTACATTTAATACGATTTTTGTCATTTGAATTCAAGTTATAACCATACTTCCAACCCGAATCACCACTTCTAGAAGAACCTGTAGAAGATATTTCCATAGAATAAGGCTCATTTTAATCATTTTTTGGTTCTTTTAAATTCAGAAATTGTCTAATCTCGTCCCGAATAGCTTCAGGAACCTTTCTACAAGAAGCAATATTCCTTTTAATACCAGCAAAGTGTTTCTTGAATCGGTTAATACCCCCATTGGTATTGTTTTCACAAAAATTACACCTTATACAACTTTTATTGTTTGGCTTTGGGTTATAATCATACTTCCAACCCGGATTACTTCTTCTAGTAGAAGCAGCAATAGATCTATTCAAATGACAAGGATTTTGTTCCTTTACAGAACTCATATATTGCTTAATCTCCTCTTTGATAGCTTCATGAACATTTTTACAGAGGGCAACATCCCACTTAAAACCGGTAAGATGTTTCATAAACTGATTTATGCCCCTTTTTATCATGTTCACAATAATTGCATCTAATGCAATTTTTGTCATTGGATTCAGGTTATATCCATATTTCCAACCCGGATATCCACTTCAACTAGATCCTGAAGAAGACATCTCAAATAAAGCAAGCAATCTAAAAAATAAAGTTTTGTACTTACTTTGATTACTCCAACTCCAAATTCTCACCTCAGAGATGTTTTCAGGTGCTAAAATAATAAAAAACACCCTGTAATAGGGTTATAAAACTCCAAAACTAAATCTAATCTACTTGGTTGATGTTTGGATCCGTTTTTCGAAACTTTGAAAAACACTTCAATCCAATGAGAATCACAAAATTTAGTTTCTTTCTCTCTAAAATGGGTTCTTATGGGTTTAGGTTTCAAATGAACCTAAAACCCATCCTTAAAAGTCTTTATGTATCAAAAAAAAAACAATAAAACAAAAAAACAAAATCCACCGCTAGGAGGGGCGCAGGCCCTGAGTGACCGCCCAGGACTTGGCATCGGGCGCCCGCCTAGGCAGGTTCCCTACCACCTAGGTGGATGCCCAGGGACTACCGCCTAGGTCTTGGCGATGCGCCCAGGCCTTCCGGACCGCTTAAGCGTTGGGTGGTCCACTTTTTCGAACACTGCATATATACACACTTATAAACACAAGATGAGTATACTTGCTTGCTAATGATTGGACATAGTTGTCTACTAACCCCCACCCCCCACAAACCAAAAAACATAAAAAGAGCACAAATCCAAAGCAAACATCCTTCTTAATAAACACAAGATGAGTATAATTGCTTGCTAGTGATTGGACATGGTTGTCTACTACCCCCCCCCAAACCCAAAAACAAAAAACATAAAAAGAGCACAAATCCAAAGCAAACATCCTTCTTACAAGTCCCATGAAGAACCAAAGAATCACGCAAAGTTATAGTGAGGAATGCAAAAGCATTTGATAGTGATACAAGTAGGAGATATTAGAGTTTACAAACTAGAGGCTTGAGATGTGCACCTCTTCTCTATGTTTAAGGTTTAGTGATATTAAAGCACAAAAAAGGTTCAAATATGATATTATAAGACAAAATTATTTTAGGAGAAGGACACATCTTCTTCTTCTTTTTTTTAATATGTTGACTGTAGTAATGTACTAAGTATAGTAAAGAAGTGGAGAGGGATCCTACACATCAAGAGAAGAATTCAAACATGTAGAATTCCACATATTCACATGTTTGAAGAATCCTCTCTTCAGGATCCGCTGGAATGGAGAATTGAATTGTGTCCATGCCAAAGCCATACCATTGTCTAATTGTATCTAACATGGGTGCAGAACCTACGGTGAAGAACCCATGCACAATAGATCTTAAAGTATATTATAGATTAAAACCTCTCATGTCGTTTATTTCTATTAGTGAGCAGAATGGTTGGAAAGATTTGGTGGGGATCCCATAACCATCAACAATTTGTCATTCATATCCTCCGCCAAACTTGCAGTGCAAGTTGTTGTTAGACGAATTGGAGTGTGTCAGTGCATCAATACAGGTAGGTGAAAAGTTGGAGAATAAGTAGATCAATGACTTGGTCTTCGTGAAATAAAACATAAAACTAAGGCATAGGTAATAATACATATACAACAAACTTTTTCTGTCATGGTACAAATTTGTAGTTCTTAAATTCCCAAGCTAGAAAAATAATATAAATTTAGCCCACATGCTTGGGGACCCTATTGACAAGAGAAGTTTAATGTTGTTGAAAAATAGGTTGTCGAGCAAGGGCAACTGACCATTGAAGGGATCAAAGATATTTAACTAGATGAGAATGAAACCACCTCAAAGGGGAAACTATTAGGTGCTGGTTTTGGATCCTTTATTTTATTTTTTTTCTGGTTATATTCAAGACTCTTAGGCTCCTATGCTAGTATGCAAATACTATGAACTTAACTTTTTAGTAATGTAAATCTTTGTCATAGGTGGTGGAGATGAGGATCTCCTTGGTTCCAATGGAGGGGATATCAATGATGATGATGAGGAAGGTGGTAACGAAGTAGATCACAAAGAAGGAGATAAAGATGAAGATGAAGATGGAGATTACAAATTACATGCCCTTGTGTTTTATCATTTATGTATTATGTAATCCTTTTAAAGGCCACATTTTGTAGGTTTGGACTTTGGATCCATGCTTTATGCTTTGTGTCATTATGAGAGTGAGACGATTATGTTCTTGTATTACTTTACTCATTTAATGCCCTTCAAGCAATGTTATTAAGATTAGATCAGAGGTCAAATTTGTGGTGCCACCGGTCCACTTGGACAGATCCCATTACATAAATAAAAAAAAAAGAAATCGAAAAAGAGGAAAATAGGAAAAATAACCTAAAAATTTTTAGGAAATCAGAAAATATTCAGAAAGTATAAGAACCGGTGTTATCAGACCAGTCTGCAATGTAGATGATTTTTTGTCAGTTAAATCTTGAATTCTAATCTTGTTTAGTTATAATTTTGTAATTTCCTTACTGTTCCCAAAAAAATTCTCTTTTTTTTGGGTGTTTTCCTTGAATTTTTCAATTTCTTTCTGTTTTCCATTTATTTGTATTTTTCCAAATTTTTTTATTTTTTTTTAAAAGTTGACCAGTCTGGCCCATGAATCGGATTATTTTTACAAAATTGGACTGAACCCGCTCCTCCACTGCTTCGAGGGCCGGTACATTCCTGTTTACAGTGGGGTTTGTTTAACTACATGAAGGAATTATGACATACGAAGCATGTGGGAGAAAACAGGAATAATAGAACATGCCTCTTCACAGAGGCAAAACCAGTCATTACTTCAAAGCCCAGTTTCCTATGAGCATAACTACGTACGTAAATAGAGCAGAAACCAAACCAAATACTAATAAAGCTAAGAAATTTTTAAGAACATCAAGGACAGTTTCTACAGTTGATAGTAAAAGACAATTTATAGAAGTGCCTGCATATTTCTAAAGAAGACCAAACAAAATCCCCAGAGCCCTATGTGCATCTACTATAAGTTAAGACTTCAATGCTACACAAAAGAAAGTCAGGCAACTACCCAGGGCAATTTGCAGAACAAACAATAAGGGAAAAGTTATTAAAATAAGCTATTTCAGAGTTTCAGTATATCACAATACCCTTGGCTCTCCTAATTGCAAGTCAAGCTATACAAGCAATAAAGGAAAAATCATGAACACCAAAGATAATGGAAGGCTTCAATGAACACAGTCATGTGTCGCATACTGGTAGAACAAGTTAATTTTGAAATCATTCTTGCAGGATGTACTTGAAGTATGCTAATGAGGGGTGCTGAAGTACATATCATGTTACCTATAGTGTAATAGGAGTGGCTCTGATGGAGGTCCTCTTATTGACAGAACACTTGATTGACAATTATATTAAAATACTAGAGATTATGGGATCAAGAAGAGAAATTATTCCACGTTGTTCTTATTCTCCAACTCTGGAGTTCTGTAAGTTATTGACAACTTAGAGTCCAGTTCCATAAAGCTCATGTGCTGAACGAGAACTGAAACTCCATAATAAGATGGAAATGGTCTGTAAACATCATCCTCAATGAGCATCATCTTATTCTTTCGTAAGTGACAATCAAAATCCTTGAGCAAGATGTGCTCTTTCAACAGGAGGGGCTAACTTAATGACAACATGGTTTGCCAACCCAGAAACTTCAAGGAAATAACAAAAACAGTTTCAAGCCAGCAGTTGCAGACGGTTTCATTATGTACAAGTTCAATATCCTCTCCAATGACAAATAGCAGAAACCAATCTTGATTTTTCTATAATCAAATTTTGAAATATCCGAACCTTAACCACAAAAATAAATGAGAGAAAACAATTTCCTGGACTATTGAAAGAGCAATCATCACCTTCTGTGAGCCATTTGCCTTGAGCCAGTTAACAGAAGCACTTATGTCCTTGACAGCACCTTGCCAATCAAGAACATCCATCAGATGTTGTGCTTCGGCAGCATCTAAACCAACCTTTCCACGGTACAAACTGAAATACAGAAGAAAGACATGCCACTAAATTCAATAAGCAAAGGAAAGCCCCTTGATGATGCAACAAATTCAAGATCTTAAAACATAACAATTGACTTTGACACTAAAGCCGAAGAAATAAATGCCCGAATTTCCTATTAAAATGATGCAAGAAATGTACATATCTTGGTAGAGATAGAAGCTCACTCTGGAATTAAAGCCTTATAACCAGGACCCATTTTAGCAATTTTTGCAGCATGGTTTTTTATCTCAAAATCAACTCCCCACCATTCCTGCAAAACCACTATACCAGGTGCATCACCTTGGCCGACCACATAAGCATCAAATGCCTGTAAGGATGAACAAAAATATATAATGATTAGAATCCAAAGAGAGAGGATCATAGTAGTAACCTCAAAGCAATGCATTTGTATTAAAGCACAGGCATAAGTGTAATATGTGACCCATTCAAAAAGTGTACAAACTGTCACAGCAGGACAAAAATTAATATAATTATGAGGATTCTCAAAATAAATATGTGAAACCTACTATCAGTAACAGGTATGACATTCAAGAGTCACTACATGTTAAGAATCTCCCAGCAGAGACCTAATAAAATCATGGTGAATGCATTAAAATGCAAGCCAGTATTTTAAACTCAGTAAGTCGACTCAGGACTTGCTCAAGTCAACTTGACTCAAAAGCCACATGGGTCTCAATGAATTTCACAGAGCTCTGCTGAATCTCACCAGAATGCTGCAAATATGGAACAGTCCCAGCTGAGTCTAGACAATCACTTTTCCTAGTTGATTAGGTTTCACATGGCTCGGTACAAGGCCCAATCGAGCTTACTTCAACTTTAAAAACATTGACATGGTCAAGATATTATGTTTCATCTTAAGCTGACATGAAATGATAGCATGCGAGCTTATGAAATCAATATCCCCACAAGGGGTGAAGAAAATTTTTCTGGTTCTAGGAGTGACTCTATCCAACATTTTTATTTTTATTAACGACCACATTGAAATTAAACTAGACCACAATGTTAAGTTTTGAACCTAAATTAACAGATTGTCGGGAGAGTTACGTTATGTTTGGCAACTGCATCAAAATCAACCTCAGAATCAATTTAAGCTAAAAGTGAAAGTAATACTGCCAAATAAAATGCATGGAAGATAATTTAAGCATTAAGAGTACACATTTTGGTAAAACAAAATGTTTATATGATCAAATGGTCAAGAGAATGTGCACCTTCAGCTACCTTCTCCATTTTCATAAATGACTCCCTAAAGATTTCTTCAAGATACGCAGTCTTAGGCAGGCAGATTCCCTTATTTCCCCACTCTTCATGATGATGGCATGGTATTGAGTAGGATGTTCCAGTTAGCTGGTTTGGGAGACCTCATTGTTTACATGCTAGACCTAATGGCCCATGATTTCACCTCTACAGTATGGGGGTGTAACTATCACTTTACGCTATGGCACAATGGAGCACGTGCAAAATTGAAGGCTTGTGATCCATATCTTTGAGTCATGACAGGGCAAGGGATCAAAATGAAGACACGTGCATTACTTAGAATTTAAGCATCTCAGGCCACTTTGGCACAGTATCGTACTCCTTCCCAACCAATAACCCCGGTGGCCGTTGTATATTGGACGACGAAGTGGAAGCTTTAAGTATCTAGGACACAATTATTGAAACGATTGACAGATGACTGGCTCCATGGAAGAGGATCTTCATCTAAGAGCTGGGGTATAACATTATTTGGAGCAACACTAAGCTCCACCCCAACATATTGTATTTCTCTCCTAAAGTCACCATGTTTTATGATTGGCAAATTAGATCACATCCACAAGATAGTGGAAAACTTCATACTGTCAAGTGGGAGGAGATTTGAAAACCTAGCCTCACACTGTTCTTTGAGTAAGCGTCAAAAATTTTATTTAAGGTATACACTAGCCAAAAATGGTGACCACAAGTCAAGCGCTCCGTAGATCACAAACACATTGTATGTCAAAAGTATGGGTGCCTTAACCCCTGAAAAACAATGAAACTAAAACCATTTGTTTTCAAGTGTCGCTGCATAATGCATTATGCAGTTGCATAATCCGTTATGAGGCCCGGAACACATTGTTCCATCCCACTATATGGGATTTGGTGATGCCCCTCATCGCATCGGTCATGATGCACTCGCATATGCGTACCATTCCTCGTGGGCAAAAAACTCTCACGAGCATGGAAGTTTTAGGTAGTTTTTATCCCACAACAAAGGGAACAAAAGCGTATGAAGGGGATAGACACACTCAGAGCACCCTTCAAACTGTATATACAAAGTTCTATGGGAATTAATGAGAAGAAATTAGCACTAGATTTTTTTCTTGAATGCGAAGTTTTCGAAAGAAATTAGGGGAATCTTCAGGCGATCAATTGAGATTGTTTTGTGCGATCTTTTGAAGGCATTTGGGCACGGATTCACCGTGAACATGATGCATCATCATATGACATGTCTGATTGAGAGCAATGAAGAAAAAGTTGGCCACCCGGCACCTTAAGCGAGCTGGTCGACAAACCGCTACAGTTGGGAGGGCATGCCTTAAGGCGGGTGCCTAAGCGGCCTAGGCGTCCACCTAATGCCATCCCTAACCAAAAAAACACAAGAAATTCAAATCCACTCAAACAA